AACAAAGAAAAACCCACCCCCCTCAAAGCCACCGCTACCAAGGACGAAGCTGTGAATAAGGATTTGGCTGCAACTTCCGCAACCGTAACACGGGTAAGCGGATGAGATCTGACATTAGACAATAAGCTTTTCCAAAACGGCACCTTTGGAAAGAACTTTGTAGGCAAAAAAATCACCGCGATTTTCTCAGAATTATAGAGACAAGTGAAACTAAATTCATCAGGCAGAGAAGAACACGCTGTGAGTTCCCGCCTAACACACAGTGATCTTGAAATGGCTTAGCACGCGTGATAACGTACGTGAACCCAACGTACCTACCGCTTGAAGCGAAAAGGGTTAATTTTTAAAGGAGGAATACCTGAGCATATTTCCTCTGCTCTCCACTACACCTCCAGGACAAATAAGGATGAGTTGTCAAGTTAAATACAAGCAGTCAAGTGACTGAATTATAATTTACTCTGTGCTCAATTTAAATTAGTGTGAGGCTATTAAAATATACAGTATAAATACGGCAATTCATCACAAGCTGTCATGGATGACTTCATCTATTTGCTGGAGTGGCATACGTTCCACTAAAGGGAACGAGAGCAAAATCACAGGTCAAATTAAGCTGCTATTCTGTTTTAATTCACTTATTTAATCTGTGGCGACATAATTGTCTTTTACAGTATGTACAACTCAAAGGAAATTTGGGAGTATTATAGTCAGTATACAAATGATTAATCAAATGGACCATTTAAATGCCAGCTTAAGAGCAGGAGAAACTAAAAGCAGTTGAATGGCAATCAGCCACTGTACGCTCAATTTTTCCATTTGGATTTTTCCCTCTAATTAGGAAAAAAGTTACTTTAGAAAAATCTATTAAATCCTCTGCACATTATCTAGCTGTAAAGTTTACATAAAATACGTAAGGACATAGCTTTGGTCTACAACATAGGTACTGGCGTTGGTTTGTTTTCTAGTATCTTTGCCAGATTATCTATCAGCTGAAAGCATTTTAATCAACAGGTTTTGGGAATGGTATCTTGTCCTATCAAATGTATACTATCATCAAAAAAAGCCCCCAAAAAGCAGAACTTTGCTTTCGCAGGTCCATCCACTGATGTCCCTATTAATGTGGGAATCCTCCACCAAACCACTTGATCCTTGCGATGATCACGCCAAGACGCTGGCGTTGCGGAGTACGCTGAGCCGTCGACGTGCTCGCTCATTTTCTTAACAGAGCAAACCAGCACGATCACCACCATCGCACGTTTCCTCGCCCCCAGCTCGCGAGCGCGTTATTTCAAGCTATGATAACGCACGCGGGTTGATGTAATATTTCTTCTGAAATCACACTAAAAAAAAAAATAGATATGTAATCGAGACTGACAGGACCACCACGAGTAGTATCTACAAGAGAAGCCAGTTTCCCAAATCTTCAGGATGCTAATTATCCACCGGGACCCCCCAGAGCCGTGGGCTCCAAGGGAAACGAGGAGGTGAAATTGCTGGGGGAAAAGGCTTTTTGCCACGGGGAGGTGATTTCAATTAACCTTGCAAAAGGCGAACTCATTTCTCCTCCTGCCTGGATGAATTTTCTGGTGCTCCACCTCCTCTCCGGGCAGGTCCTGAGGACACCCGCAGCCCCACGGGCCGGGCTGGAGAGCAGCAACGGCAGCACCGAGCGGAGCTGGCACGGACGGTGATGCTCCCTGCAGAGCTTGAAAAAGATTATTTGAGGAAGCAACGTAGTAGGTACCATGGAGAAGCAGCATCCTTACACAACCCCAGCATTTAGGGGAAGATCTTTTTCAGTTCTGTACTGAAAGTTGTCAGAAAAAATAGTTTTTATTATTAATTTTCTGTACTTTTGTGCCTATTACAACTCAGAGAATTCCTGTCTAACTGCTCACGACAGGTTTAGGAATGACGGATACCACTTGAAAGGACTTCTGCAAAGTGACTTTTTCAAAAACTTTTCCAAGTGATATTTGTATTCCACATAATTTGAAGTTATTTGGATATTATTTCCGTATTTTCCACATGGAGAGAATCAGTTCAAATCCAGTAGTAAGCATTTGCTTTTCTCCTAGTGGGGTGAAGGGATTTATTTATGTGACCCTCAGGAAAGCCAAAACATGGGCAGAATCTGCTTTTAGTAAATTATATCTGATTGGAACCACAAGACAAGCTGAGCCCAAATCTGAAAGTCGCCCATATATGGAAATATTGCCTGGCAAACAGAACGGCTTCATTTGAAGTCTCAGTATAATCTTACCTCTTTAAATCCTATTTCACACCAATTCGGCTCGCAGCAACCAGCTCCCATCACTCCTCCTCTTGCCCTCCCCTCCTACCCCCACCTGCTTTCAGTTTAACTCAGTTACGCCAGAATTTAATGATTAAAGACATACAGCGGAAATAAAAAAAAAAAAAAAAAAAAAGACAAAAAGCCCACTTTACAGTTTTCTAAATAATTATTCCATATATTATATTTTTTAAATATACCTTTTTTTAGGTCCCAAACTACTAATTGGAATTGTACGAATGCAACGATTAACTTGTTTTCCAAAAGTCTCCCCTGCTTTGAGTTTTAACAAAACGGCCAAATTAAAAAAAAAAAGTTTGATACATTAAAAAAAAAGAGACATATTTCCATATTTTTATATAGATTAACTGTATTAATAATTTAATGTACAGATTTCATCTAATTTAACAAATTACATACAAGAGCTGGCATGCTGTTGTCAGAGCTGCGCTATCAGTTTACCACAGCTTTTCCTGAACTTTCAGACAAGACAGGCATTTGTCTGACCACGTAACATTACGGCACACGGTTTTACTGCAAAGAACGCTAATAAGGAAAAAGAAAAAGCCAAATCGGTTGGATAAAAAAACGATTGGGGAGGGGGACATTAAAATAAATAGACCCGTTAAAACCACAAAACCTCCTAGGAAAACGGAACGTTATCCCGAAGAAAACGAGGGAAATCCTCTTTATTTAAAAATGAGGTTGCAGAGACCACTGAAGAATACGCCCTTGGGGACCGTTTGGTGTTCGAGAAAGGGACAAGCTGCCACCCCGCGACCTTTCCGTCCCCGCTCCTGTCACCCCGGGGTTCAGGACGATGCAGCGGCATCTCCGCCAGTCGCCGGAGAGAAACAAACCGCATCCGCGCTCGGGCACAGCCACATACCCCCCCCCGGGGAAGGCGGGGTGGTACCTACGCACGGCGCTGAGCAATTCCCAATGGATGAAACCCGGATTCCGGGAAAACTCTGTGCTCGCTTGGACGTACTAAATTTATGGGCTGGAGTTTTTCCCTGCATAAACAATGTGGACTTGAATGCAATAAAACAAATTGAGATCTAACGGTCAGAGGGAGGGGAAGGAAACCGAGGTCAAGAAAGAATGGAGAGAAAGAAAGAGAGAAAGAAAATTACTGTCATATCTTACCTTTACTGCTAGTATTTTTCCACTAGGGACATGATATGCCCTGCATGAGGGAAAAAATTAAATAACTTGAGATCACATAAAATTACCTCTATACATATGTGCAACATGTATACACTAATTTCACAGAAAAATGACTTGGAGCTAATACGTTTTACTGTAAACCAGTTTTATAGAGCACTTCTAAAGAAAGACTGATGAAAACAATTGATCACAAGAATATAGTTACAATGAAGCCATTAAGCAGGTTTTTACATCTGCATGTTTTATATAAAACCTACACATCGAAGACTTTCGTACAGCACAATAGCAAACTTGCAAGTTATGAATTTATCCGCTTTCCCATTTTCTTTCAATGAAATCAAATTATGATATAGCCATTATTCACAATCTTCACGTAAAACACGGTTTATCATGCAAGTTTGCCAATCCTTCGGGTATTTTCAGTGGTACAGACAGCGAGATGCGCAGCTGTATCAATTAAAGGGAAGTAAAACAAATAATGACTGCTTCTTTATCATAACCTAAGGACCCACAGAAAATAATGGCAAAATGAACTTTTTGCATTTGTATTTAAGATTAGCCCGTGTGCACGCATATAAGGTTAGAAAGTATTACTGTTAATGATCACGTGTACCCAAAATAATTTCCCACAGTATTTCAAGAGCAGTTTGTCTTAATTTCTGAAGACATTTATAATTGGCTATTTAACAATGACTTGTGTATTCCTAACCGTGAACTCGTAAGAAAAATAAGAAGGTAGGTGAAAAAACTGTCGACTAAAAATCCAATGTAATTTTGCATAAAAACAAAACCATTAAAGGTTTTCCTCTTCACTAGTTTTATTGTCTCATACTGATTTATGACACTATGCACAGTAATGCCATATATGTGGCACTAACTTTAAAGAATTATAATATTTTACCACTATATACCTCTAGCAATTATTACCGAAGAAGAAAAGCTTTAATAGGTTTTGTTGTGGGGGTTTTTTTGCATGCAAAATCATACATAATTGTTGTTTAATCTTATTTATAACCCTGAGCGCTTATATAATTTCTGTTAATAGCTTGGAAGTTTCTAAAAACTTCACCTTAATTTAATAACTCGCGGATAAACATTTATGTAAGCGCGCGGCATCGGCTTTTAGGAACTAACCCGGTTGAAAAAGGCGTACCAAAAATCAGCGTTATTTAATATCAGTAGAAGATGCAAAAGGCGAAATCATCAGAGGAAGCTCCGACAGACTGGTAGCCGGATGCATAATCAATGAATGCAAGGGAGTAAATGAACGCTGCTGTAACCAGGGATGAATCAACAGTGGCAAACCATTATGGACTTAAGATCAGCAGAAATGATAAGAAAATGAACAGGTTGAGATAGCATGCTGAACGTCTGTTAGCTTAATATGTACTGTGCCGGACAGTTTGGCAACTTAATTAGCTTGTCGAGAAAGCTGATCTTTTTTCCATAAGAGAGATCTCCTGTTTCCAAGTGAATTAAAAGGGAAGACTTGATTATTTAATTATGATGCACGCTAATTCATCCGTGGAAGTTTGGGTTAAATTTCCAGCAGAGGGCAGATACCTGGTTTGGTTTACAGAGCACTGACAGTACCAATTTAACATTTAATTATCGCTGAGAACTGGATCGCAAAGGAGATACCATGCCCGTGGGTACAGCGTGTCCGGTGGCTTTGCAAATGGCATACTACCTGGGAGGAAAGGAATTTGTTTACTCCGGGCTGATCCGGCATCTCCATCGTCCTGACCTTCCTCAACACAATAACCGTAAAGTGATTAATGAAGTTTGAATAGGAGCTTCGGTTACACCAAAAGACAACCCTACACCTCTGTAGTGTTTTAATTAACAGCTAACACTTCAAATTAGTCTGTAGTTGCTACGGTAATTACCTGTTCCAAGGGAAAACGGTTTCGTTAGATATTATGTAGACCTGTACGTTGGAATTGATCATTTCGGTTACAATCAGCACAGCTAAAGCCTGAAGATTTAGTACCGTTATGTAGCTTCAGAAGGATGCACTAAAAAACCCCAATCCCACAGCATGAAGCACACCGCACCCGTCAGTAACTCTAAGAGGAGATTAAACTAATATTCGTACTCCGTAAGTACCGTGAAGTCTCATCTCAAGGGTCAACTCTCCGATTTCAGTGTCACCTCCAAAAGTAAGTAACCACGCTCCTCACTGTAGAACCAGATCGTTAGACAAAGCAAAGCAGCAAAATGCAAAAGGTTCCTCCGCCGCGCCGTGCGTTTCAGTGAACGCACGCTTGCAAATCTTCCAGGATGGTAAGCAAATGATGTCGCCTAATAAAGGCTTCCAACAACAGCTCCTCTTGCTGGGAATGCGTTTGAGCAGCGCCTAACAGTAAAGGCAAGCAGATGCTAAAGGCGAGCGGAAACAGTTGCTAAATAGCGGCCGAAATACTTAAAGACAAACGTAAAGAGCAGAAATTAAATGCATTGAAATGCAAAATATTCAAGGAAAACGCTGTTTCGACGTTTGCAAAATTTCATGCCTTGCAGAAACCAGCTCTGGGAAAACAAGTTCATTTTTCTGCTCGTTTTTGTTGGGGTTCGGTTTTGCTTCTGACCCCTTGGAAAAGCTACAACGGACAACTGAGACTCGGAGGCTCTAAATCCTTCCTTGGTGAGGAGAAATCAAAGCGACAGAGAACCAACCTCTGCAATCAGAAGCGTACAAAGTCATTCCGACCGCTTGACGCCAGTGTCGATTATTACAAATACCAAAGTTATTATTTAGGTTATGTTGCGATTTGCCAACCGCAGGAAGCTGGTTCCGACGCGCGTTGCCCCTTCCCTCGCGGCCTCTCGCTTAAACGGGATTTCTAAGACAAACGCCGTGGCACGGACAGCTCTTTTTACTCTCCAAGAGGAAACTCCTAACAGATACTGGGACAAATTAAGAATATCTTCTTATGCACGACCTGATCTAGATCCCACCCAGGTTATTTGGAGATTTGCATCTACCGTAAATTTGATGTTTTATTATTTCAAGTGCAAATAAATGGAAAGGCTATGAGATTAATAACCATTTCAGTAACAACTTTCTCCGCTACGAAAAATTCTTTTTAGGTATATATTGAAAAATACCGACACAGTATTTATTAAAATAGGAGAAAAATAAACACGACAGCAATCAGGTAAATCACTTGGTGCCCAATTTCTGCACATAAAGGGCCTATCATTCCAGCACTCTGTGCCCAACTAATATTTCATTTTATTTTAAAATAGATAGTTGTTAGCTATTATAGCCACAGCATTTTTTTAGGCTGAGGATAATGATTAAAGTTATCAAAAATACAAAAAAGCAGAGTTCAGAAATCCATTTCAGGACACCAGTCTTACAAGATGATGCATTCTTTTCCAATTCATCCAAGCCTGGCTGAAAATAGTTGCTGTGTGTCTGCAAGAAGACAAGATAGTACAAAAAGTTGTAGATATCTTAAGCTGATCTCGGGCGACATCTTCAAAGTGAACAGTGAAGGCTGGTGGTCAAAAACTGCATCTTAGTCTCAGAATATATATGGGAGGCAAGAAGATAATTCATACTAATTTCCCCCAGAAAATGAAAATTCTTCACGCAAGCAAACTTTTCTTTCTGGATGCCCTGAAGTAGATTTTGGTTCCTATGTCCGATACAGATATGGGACAAGCTCTGCGCTCAATTAGCGACCAATTTAATAATCGCCAGATACGGCGAAAGGTGATGAACAGTATGCGGAAAGAAGCGCACCCCTTACTATTAGCAGTACCTGGTGCAGGGACCGAGTAACGAGATTGTTGTTGAATTAAAACTAAGTTTTAATATCTCAGACTGATAACTCTCTCAACAAAATTGTCATAGATTTCACAAAAGAAGGAAGAAATCTTCAGGGAGGATGGAGAAAAGCAAGCACCGACTTTCAGAACTCCTTGGGGAAAAAGGTATCTCAGCAACGGAGCCGCATGGTAGAAAGCACCGCGCCAGCTCCGAGAAAGAGGGGAAAACCAGCGAGAAAGGGGGAAGCTGGAGTGGAAAAGGCGAATTTTGGTGGGACTTCCTGCCCCCCCGCCCTGCCACGCTGCGGAAACGCGAGATGCAGGATGGAGACTCCTCGTGGGAAGTGCTCCGCGCGGGCACGCGACGCAGAGCGGCGGCTTAAAGCTGCCGCACGTGTAAGAACAGGAGAGGCGGACTTCAACCACTGCGCGTTTCGAAACGATCCCGCCGGGGAAAAGAAATTTAAATCTCTTCCGTCACGTTCCCACTGGAGTTCGTTATTGTGAGCCCCCTACATCTATTACAAAGAACAGCTTCTAAGCAAGACTGGCACAGTTGTGTCAAATATTTTATTAACCTTGACAATTAACCATATCCCTGGACATTAAAAGCCCCGAAGGGACCCGCGCGAGCCAAGTCCTTTAGCGTAACTTTGCCTCCTCTACTCTGCAAACCGCGAGTGCCCCTCGGGGAGCGCTGCCAAGGCAGCTTGCCCAGCTCCGCGGCAAAAGCTGGGTTATTTTGGGGAATAAGAAAGACGGCGTGAGCAAGCGTTCGCCCTGCTTGAACAAAGCCCTCTAGCTAAGCCGGAAAAAAACTTCTGATGGACGGCGGAGTACGACGTGCGCATCCCTTGTGTTCCAGAAAATAGAAATCAATATCACGGAAAACTAGAGTAGGGCTTTGGGGGAACTGCCAACTCCTCGGCATCTCTCCCCCTATATATAAGATGTGTTTCTACGGGAAAGCAAATTAAAAAATGAAAGCATCAGAAGCAGCTGGTTTCTGGTTTTAAAAGCAAAGGAAGAAAGAGGCAGCTGAATTTCACATTGCCTGCTTTGTTCTTCCTAAGGTCTGCTGCAAAGAAAACCAGAGGAGAAATGCAAGATGCTTTGGCTCAATCCTCTTTATGCAAGAAACCATAGCCCAGCCTAATATTTACAGCTAAAAAAAAAAATAATCATACACTAAATATAGTGAGTTTCTACTCAGTTCAAAAGTAAAATGAAAAAAGGCAA